TAAACCTTATTTTCAATAAGCAATCCTGAAAAATATTTGGGGGTGCTTAACTTTTTTCCAGGTGTATAAAAACATTCCCAGCACACGAATGAGTAGTTCCGCGAAATCTGGGTTTAATCGTCAATTACGTTTGATAGTGTGCTTTAATATTTTGGTTAAAATTACACAAAACCTCTTTTTGTATTCATCTTGCTATACCTAAAATAAATAAACATTAACAAGTCACAACAAAGATAACTGAGTACTGTTAAGGTATCACTAGAAGGTACTATGAAGTTCGAGTGTTTTTTGTGTGTGTTTGTTTTATTGTTTTTTAAACCATTAAGCACTTCAATGGTTTATTTGTACTCGCTAATACAAATGAGGATGAAGGTAATAAGAACAATATTAACAAGTAGTAACCGTTTCTTCATCTTACTAATAGTGGTAATAGGAATACGTGTTAGTTTTCAATATCTCAGGAAACAGAAACTTTATTGATATTATTCCACTGAAAATTTTTTCTTATAATTATTACATATTCTTAAAACTGTGATACCTTATCACGGTTTTCATGTTTGATACCTTAGTACGGTTTTCATGTTCGATACCTTATCACGGCTTTCATGTTTAGAGACGTATTGGGTGTTTGTTTTCACTGTTTGGTATAAATTGGACGACTATCATGCATTGAAGCCTAGCAAAACTATAAAGTTTGTTGTAGGAGAGCCAGTACTTAAAATGTATCATTGGAATTACGGTCGAAAACATCGATAATAGAGAGGGTACCCAATTCTGGCGAATATTTGCTTTCTTATTATTCTACATTTATTCAGAACTGAAAATAACTTAGTAAATAAGATAGTTAATTCTATATAATGGACTAACTCAGAGTATATATTGTAACAAAACAAGGGGCGTATTGGCTTGTTTTGTTACAATATATACTCTGAGTTAGTCTATTATATAGAATTAACTATCTTATTTACTAAGTTATTTTCAGTTCTAAATGGCGTATTGGCTTGTTTTGTTACAATATATACTCTGAGTTAGCCCATTATATAAAATTAACTATCTTATTTACTAAGTTATTTTCAGTTCTGAATAATGTATTGGCTTGTTTTGTTACAATATATACTCTGAGTTAGTCCATTATATAGAATTAACTATCTTATTTACTAAGTTATTTTCAGTTCTGAATAATGTATTGGCTTGTTTTGTTTCAATATATTCTCTGAGTTAGTCCATTATATAGAATTAACTATCTTATTTACTAAGTTATTTTCAGTTCTGAATAACGCATTGGCTTGTTTT